CCCTCAGTGTGGTGGTTCTTCCCATCATTAGGTCGGCTTCACACCTGGATGTTGATCACGCACAGGAAGCCCCTCCCACTCTTTTTTTGGGAACAACATGGTGGCAGCTCCGATGGGTTGGGTTGTCCATGAATGGCACCAAAACATGTATGGTGCACCTCAACACTCTGTGTGACCCCAACCTTACCATGTCCTATGGACCCATGAGGTCAGCAGGAGGACTCGGCGAGCCTTGAGGTGGACCCATGAGGTCAGCAGGAGGACTCGGCGAGCCTTGAGGTGGACCCAGGAGGTCAGCAGGAGGACTCGGCGAGCCTTGAGGTGGACCCATGAGGTCAGCAGGAGGACTCGGCGAGCCTTGAGGTGGACCCAGGAGGTCAACAGGAGGAATCTATAAGTCTTGAGGTGGACCCAGGACGTCAGCAGGAGGAATCGCCGAGCCTTGAGGTGGACCCAGGAGGTCAGCAGGAGGAATCGGTGAGCCTTGAGATGGGCCCAGGGGGTCAGCAGAAGGAATCGGTGAGCCTTGAGGTGGAGCCAGGAGGTCAGCAGGAGGAATCGGTGAGCCTTGAGGTGGACCCAGGACGTCAGGAGGAATCGCTGAGCCTTGAGGTGGAACAAGGAGGTCAGCAGGAGGAATCGGTGAGCCTTGAGGTGGGCCCAGGGGGTCAGCAGGAGGAATCGGTGAGCCTTGAGGTGGATCCAGGAGGTCAGCAGGGGGAATCGGTGAGCCTTGAGGTGGACCCAGGAGGTCAGCAGGAGGAATCAGTGAGCCTTGAGGTGGACCCAGGGGGTCAGCAGGAGGAGTTGGTGAGCCTTGAGGTGGATCCAGGAGGTCAGCAGGAGGAATCAGTGAGCCTTGAGGTGGATCCAGGTGGTCAGCAGGAGGAGTTGGCGAGCCTTGAGGTGGACCCAGGAGGTCAGCAGGGGGAATCGGTGAGCCTTGAGGTGGACCCAGGGGGTCAGCAGGAGCAGTTGTCGAGCCTTGAGGAGGTCAGCAGGAGGAATTAGTGAGCCTTGACGTGGATCCAGGAGGTCAGCATGTGGTATTAGTGAGCCTTGAGGTGGCTCGAGGAGGTCAGCAGGAGGAGTTGGCGAGCCTTGAGGTGGACCCAGGAGGTCAGCAAGGGGAATCGGCGAGCCTTGAGGTGGACCCAGGAGGTCCGCAGGAGGAATGAGGAATCCGTGAGCCTTGAGGTGGACCCAGGAGGTCAGCAGGAGGAATTAGTGAGCCTTGAGGTGGACCCAGGAGGTCAGCAAGAGGAATCAGTGAGCCTTGAGGTGGACCCGGGAGGTCAGCAGGAGGAATTAGTGAGCCTTGAGGTGGACCCAGGAGGTCAGCAAGAGGAATCAGTGAGCCTTGAGGTGGAACAAGGAGGTCAGCAGGAGGAATCGGTGACCCTTGAGGTGGAACAAGGAGGTCAGCAGGAGGAATCGGTGAGCCTTGAGGTGGATCCAGGAGGTCAGCAGGAGGAGTTGGCGAGCCTTGAGGTGGATCGAGGAGGTCAGCAGGAGGAATCAGTGAGCCTTGAGGTGGATCCAGGTGGTCAGCAGGAGGAGTTGGCGAGCCTTGAGGTGGATCGAGGAGGTCAGCAGGAGGAATTAGTGAGCCCTGACGTGGATCCAGGAGGTCAGCAGGAGGTATTAGTGAGCCTTGAGGTGGATCCAGGAGGTCGGCAGGAGGAGTTGGCGAGCCTTGAGGTGGAACCAGGAGGTCAGCATGGGGAATCGGCGAGCCTTGAGGTGGACCCAGGAGGTCAGCAGGAGGAATCGGTGGCCCTTTAGGTGGAACAAGGGGGTCCGCAAGAGGAATCGGTGAGCCTTGAGGTGGACCCAGGAGGAATCGGTGAGCCTTGAGGTGGACCCAGGAGGTCAGCAGGAGGACTCGGCGAGCCTTGAGGTGGACCCAGGAGGTCAACAGGAGGAATCTATAAGTCTTGAGGTGGACCCAGGACGTCAGCAGGAGGAATCGCCGAGCCTTGAGGTGGACCCAGGAGGTCAGCAGGAGGAATCGCCGAGCCTTGAGGTGGACCCAGGACGTCAGCAGGAGGAATCGCCGAGCCTTGAGGTGGACCCAGGAGGTCAGCTGGAGGAATCGGTGAGCCTTGAGATGGGCCCAGTGGGTCAGCAGAAGGAATCGGTGAGCCTTGAGGTGGAGCCAGGAGGTCAGCAGGAGGAATCGGTGAGCCTTGAGGTGGACCCAGGACGTCAGCAGGAGGAATCGCCGAGCCTTGAGGTGGACCCAGGAGGTCAGCTGGAGGAATCGGTGAGCCTTGAGATGGGCCCAGGGGGTCAGCAGGAGGAATCGGTGAGCCTTGAGGTGGAGCCAGGAGGTCAGCAGGAGGAATCGGTGAGCCTTGAGGTGGACCCAGGACGTCAGGAGGAATCGCTGAGCCTTGAGGTGGAACAAGGAGGTCAGCAGGAGGAATCGGTGAGCCTTGAGGTGGGCCCAGGGGGTCAGCAGGAGGAATCGGTGAGCCTTGAGGTGGATCCAGGAGGTCAGCAGGGGGAATCGGTGAGCCTTGAGGTGGACCCAGGAGGTCAGCAGGAGGAATCGGTGAGCCTTGAGGTGGACCCAGGAGGTCAGCAGGAGGAATTAGTGAGGCTTGAGGTGGACCCAGGAGGTCAGCAGGAGGAATCGGTGAGCCTTGAGGTGGACCCAGGACGTCAGCAGGAGGAATCGCCGAGCCTTGAGGTGGACCCAGGAGGTCAGCTGGAGGAATCGGTGAGCCTTGAGATGGGCCCAGTGGGTCAGCAGAAGGAATCGGTGAGCCTTGAGGTGGAGCCAGGAGGTCAGCAGGAGGAATCGGTGAGCCTTGAGGTGGACCCAGGACGTCAGGAGGAATCGCTGAGCCTTGAGGTGGAACAAGGAGGTCAGCAGGAGGAATCGGTGAGCCTTGAGGTGGGCCCAGGGGGTCAGCAGGAGGAATCGGTGAGCCTTGAGGTGGATCCAGGAGGTCAGCAGGGGGAATCGGTGAGCCTTGAGGTGGACCCAGGAGGTCAGCAGGAGGAATCAGTGAGCCTTGAGGTGGACCCAGGGGGTCAGCAGGAGGAGTTGGTGAGCCTTGAGGTGGATCCAGGAGGTCAGCAGGAGGAATTAGTGAGCCTTGAGGTGGATCCAGGAGGTCAGCAGGAGGAGTTGGCGAGCCTTGAGGTGGACCCAGGAGGTCAGTAAGGGGAATCGGCGAGCCTTGAGGTGGACCCAGGAGGTCAGCAGGAGGAATCACTGAGCCTTGAGGTGGACCCAGGAGGTCAGCAGGAGGACTCGGCGAGCCTTGAGGTGGATCCAGGAGGTCAGCAGGATGAATTAGTGAGCCTTGAGGTGGATCCAGGAGGAGTTGGCGAGCCTTGAGGTGGACCGAGGAGGTCAGCAGGAGGAATTAGTCAGCCTTGAGGTGGATCCAGGAGGTCAGCAGGAGGAATTAGTGAGCCTTGAGGTGGATCCAGGAGGAGTTGGCGAGCCTTGAGGTGGACCGAGGAGGTCAGCAGGATGAATCAATGAGCCTTGAGGTGGACCCAGGAGGTCAGCGCTCCTAGAAATGTCCTTGAGGACTTCCTTTCATTGGAACGGTGTCAGTGGCCGCAGTGGGTGTTCCCTCCTGTCTCAGGAAGAGGTTTATTCATCTGTAGATTTACTTTAAATGGAATCCTTCCTACAAACCTTCAAAAATAACGTGGCCCTGTCCCACCAATCCTTCCATAAATCTACTTTCTGGAGGTACATTCTGCATCTGACGCCTTCAGAAATGTGGGACCCCTGGTTTCCCCTCTGTGGTCCCTCCCACTGGCCCTACATCGCTATCCTATAGGGGCCAGTAGGTGAAACCACAGAGCAGGAAAACTAGTATCCAACACACCTGGAGGTTCTTCATCTGCCACAGCTCTACAAGACATCGGTGGCCATTAAAAGAATGTTCCTTACATTGGGGGTCAGTGGGAAGAATGTCCCTTACATTGGAGGTCAGTGAGAAGAATGTCCCTTACATTGGGGGTCAGTGGGGGGAGAATGTCCCTTACATTGGGGGTCAGTGGGGGGAGAATGTCCCTTACATTGGGGGTCAGTGGGGGGAGAATGTCCCTTACATTGGGGGTCAGTGGGGGGAGAATGTCCCTTACATTGGGGGTCAGTGGGGGGAGAATGTCCCTTACATTGGGGGTCAGTGGGGGGAGAATGTCCCTTACATTGGGGGTCAGTGGGGGGAGAATGTCCCTTACATTGGGGGTCAGTGGGGGGAGAATGTCCCTTACATTGGGGGTCAGTGGGGGGAGAATGTCCCTTACATTGGGGGTCAGTGGGGGGAGAATGTCCCTTACATTGGGGGTCAGTGGGGGGAGAATGTCCCTTACATTGGGGGTCAGTGGGGGGAGAATGTCCCTTACATTGGGGGTCAGTGGGGGGAGAATGTCCCTTACATTGGGGGTCAGTGGGGGGAGAATGTCCCTTACATTGGGGGTCAGTGGGGGGAGAATGTCCCTTACATTGGGGGTCAGTGGGGGGAGAATGTCCCTTACATTGGGGGTCAGTGGGGGGAGAATGTCCCTTACATTGGGGGTCAGTGGGGGGAGAATGTCCCTTACATTGGGGGTCAGTGGGGGGAGAATGTCCCTTACATTGGGGGTCAGTGGGGGGAGAATGTCCCTTACATTGGGGGTCAGTGGGGGGAGAATGTCCCTTACATTGGGGGTCAGTGGGGGGAGAATGTCCCTTACATTGGGGGTCAGTGGGGGGAGAATGTCCCTTACATTGGGGGTCAGTGGGGGGAGAATGTCCCTTACATTGGGGGTCAGTGGGGGGAGAATGTCCCTTACATTGGGGGTCAGTGGGGGGAGAATGTCCCTTACATTGGGGGTCAGTGGGGGGAGAATGTCCCTTACATTGGGGGTCAGTGGGGGGAGAATGTCCCTTACATTGGGGGTCAGTGGGGGGAGAATGTCCCTTACATTGGGGGTCAGTGGGGGGAGAATGTCCCTTACATTGGGGGTCAGTGGGGGGAGAATGTCCCTTACATTGGGGGTCAGTGGGGGGAGAATGTCCCTTACATTGGGGGTCAGTGGGGGGAGAATGTCCCTTACATTGGGGGTCAGTGGGGGGAGAATGTCCCTTACATTGGGGGTCAGTGGGGGGAGAATGTCCCTTACATTGGGGGTCAGTGGGGGGAGAATGTCCCTTACATTGGGGGTCAGTGGGGGGAGAATGTCCCTTACATTGGGGGTCAGTGGGGGGAGAATGTCCCTTACATTGGGGGTCAGTGGGGGGAGAATGTCCCTTACATTGGGGGTCAGTGGGGGGAGAATGTCCCTTACATTGGGGGTCAGTGGGGGGAGAATGTCCCTTACATTGGGGGTCAGTGGGGGGAGAATGTCCCTTACATTGGGGGTCAGTGGGGGGAGAATGTCCCTTACATTGGGGGTCAGTGGGGGGAGAATGTCCCTTACATTGGGGGTCAGTGGGGGGAGAATGTCCCTTACATTGGGGGTCAGTGGGGGGAGAATGTCCCTTACATTGGGGGTCAGTGGGGGGAGAATGTCCCTTACATTGGGGGTCAGTGGGGGGAGAATGTCCCTTACATTGGGGGTCAGTGGGGGGAGAATGTCCCTTACATTGGGGGTCAGTGGGGGGAGAATGTCCCTTACATTGGGGGTCAGTGGGGGGAGAATGTCCCTTACATTGGGGGTCAGTGGGGGGAGAATGTCCCTTACATTGGGGGACAGTGGGAAGAATGCTCCTTGGATTGGGGGTCAGTGGGAAGAATGCTCCTTACATTGGGGGTCCACGTTGCGTATTATAACCCGGCTCTCTCCTCTTCCAGGTTGGCCACGTCTCTGTGGTCTCATTTTAATGGTCACAACTTCATCACCTGACTCCAGAACATCCACCAGTGGGAACCTTGTAACCGAGAACAATCTCCGAGCCGGTGTCCTTCCCCCCTCCGTGTCCCCAGCCCGTCCACTAGCATGGAGTGCGATGAGGGTAAAGAGTCCGAGAACCACCACGTGGACGACGTTACTGAGAGCACGCAGACCGGGGAGGAGCTCACCAAAGACAAGGAAACTAAAGCCAACATGAAAACCAGAGGAGACCTGAAGGCAGTTAAAAAAGAACCCGCCCCCCAAGCTGAGAACTCCGAGGACCCACTGACCACTGACGGCAAAGACGACGTGGTATTTGTAGGTGAGGAAATAGTTAAGAAGCCGGAAGGAGAGCGGCCGAAGAGCCGCCGATCACAACACATAGAAGAGAACGGGGATCGCATCGCCTCGGAGACCGGGGAGAAGAACAGCTGTCTGCCGGAAGAAAAAGCTCAACTTCATCACCTGACTCCAGAACATCCACCAGTGGGAACCTTGTAACCGAGAACAATCTCCGAGCCGGTGTCCTTCCCCCCTCCGTGTCCCCAGCCCGTCCACTAGCATGGAGTGCGATGAGGGTAAAGAGTCCGAGAACCACCACGTGGACGACGTTACTGAGAGCACGCAGACCGGGGAGGAGCTCACCAAAGACAAGGAAACTAAAGCCAACATGAAAACCAGAGGAGACCTGAAGGCAGTTAAAAAAGAACCCGCCCCCCAAGCTGAGAACTCCGAGGACCCACTGACCACTGACGGCAAAGACGACGTGGTATTTGTAGGTGAGGAAATAGTTAAGAAGCCGGAAGGAGAGCGGCCGAAGAGCCGCCGATCACAACACATAGAAGAGAACGGGGATCGCATCGCCTCGGAGACCGGGGAGAAGAACAGCTGTCTGCCGGAAGAAAAAGCGGCGGGCGAGCCCCCCGAAAAACAAGCCGACTCACCGCAGCCCAGCCAGACCTTCCCACGGAGGATGAGGCTACGACCCACACTGAAACCTCGTACTACCGTTCCCATCAACCCTGAACGCAGCATCAGCACAGATTCCGAATCGGCCATCAAAGATGAACAATCCTCCTCGAAGGATGCGAAGGAAGCGGACGAGGAATCTGGCACCAAACCCGGTGAGTACAGTCTTCCCTTATCCCTACATCGTATATACCGAGCGCGTGTATCCTCCTCCTCCGCTGATCACAGGGAGATAGAGAGATACAAAGTAACATTGTTTATAGACATTGATCAGAGGGAGATAGAGAGATACAAAGTAACATTGTTTATAGACATTGATCAGAGGGAGATAGAGAGATACAAAGTAACATTGTTTATAGACATTGATCAGAGGGAGATAGAGAGATACAAAGTAACATTGTTTATAGACATTGATCAGAGGGAGATAGAGAGATACAAAGTAACATTGTTTATAGACATTGATCAGAGGGAGATAGAGAGATACAAAGTAACATTGTTTATAGACATTGATCAGAGGGAGATAGAGAGATACAAAGTAACATTGTTTATAGACATTGATCAGAGGGAGATAGAGAGATACAAAGTAACATTGTTTATAGACATTGATCAGAGGGAGATAGAGAGATACAAAGTAACATTGTTTATAGACATTGATCAGAGGGAGATAGAGAGATACAAAGTAACATTGTTTATAGACATTGATCAGAGGGAGATAGAGAGATACAAAGTAACATTGTTTATAGACATTGATCAGAGGGAGATAGAGAGATACAAAGTAACATTGTTTATAGACATTGATCAGAGGGAGATAGAGAGATACAAAGTAACATTGTTTATAGACATTGATCAGAGGGAGATAGAGAGATACAAAGTAACATTGTTTATAGACATTGATCAGAGGGAGATAGAGAGATACAAAGTAACATTGTTTATAGACATTGATCAGAGGGAGATAGAGAGATACAAAGTAACATTGTTTATAGACATTGATCAGAGGGAGATAGAGAGATACAAAGTAACATTGTTTATAGACATTGATCAGAGGGAGATAGAGAGATACAAAGTAACATTGTTTATAGACATTGATCAGAGGGAGATAGAGAGATACAAAGTAACATTGTTTATAGACATTGATCAGAGGGAGATAGAGAGATACAAAGTAACATTGTTTATAAACATTGATCAGAGGGAGATAGAGAGATACAAAGTAATATTTTTTGGTGTATTTTTTTTTTCCATATGCAAACGATGTCAGTTAAAGGAACATGATAGGTAGGGATGCACTGTTACTAACATCCCTCTAGGTAACGCCCACGTGATGCTCAGCCTCCATCCAATGAATGAAAAGGTCACTCGTGGTGATAGCATTGGGTGGCCGAGCTGTCAATCACATGGGGTGGAGGGGAGAGTCTGGAATAGAGGGAAGCAGAGGCATGTTTCTATATTTCTCCTCGTTATTGTGACAGACATGACGGGTCTCATCGATTTCCCTCTTCCTCCACAGATGACGGTCCGGATGACAAGGCCTCTGAAGAGGACAAATCTCTGGTAAGAGTCTCTGACCTATGATGTTGTTTGGGTGGGACAGCGTCTGACCAGAGGGGAGAGGTCGGCGTCTGACCAGAGGGGAGGGGTCGTCGTCTGACCAGAGGGGAGGGGTCGTCGTCTGACCAGAGGGGAGGGGTCGTCGTCTGACCAGAGGGGAGGGGTCGTCGTCTGACCAGAGGGGAGGGGTCGTCGTCTGACCAGAGGGGAGGGGTCGTCGTCTGACCAGAGGGGAGGGGTCGTCGTCTGACCAGAGGGGAGGGGTCGTCGTCTGACCAGAGGGGAGGGGTCGTCGTCTGACCAGAGGGGAGGGGTCGTCGTCTGACCAGAGGGGAGGGGTCGTCGTCTGACCAGAGGGGAGGGGTCGTCGTCTGACCAGAGTCTGACCAGAGAGGGGGGTGGGGTCGGCGTCTGACCAGAGGGGAAGGGTCGGCGTCTGACCAGAGAGGGGGGTGGGGTCGGCGTCTGGCCGGGGGGGAGGGGACATGCTGCCAGATTTTGTTTGTCATCCGTTAATGGGTTACCCCGGGGTCAGGAAAGGGTTAAATGTTGGTGGGCGCTCTGATTACCATGTTTATTTGGAAGATGTTCTATCGTGTTATACACTCACTATTCACACCGGGTGACGAGCCGACAGCGCCACCTGCTGGCTGCAAATAAAAACACATTTTATAATGCAATAGTTTATACTTGGGCTCTAGAGATCTTTTTATGAGTTTTATATGGAAAACTGAAGGGGAGGACGGAGGTCAGATAGAAGACTGAAGGGGAGGACGGAGGTCAGACAGAAGACTGAAGGGGAGGACGGAGGTCAGACATAAGACTGAAGGGGAGGACGGAGGTCAGACATAAGACTGAAGGGGAGGTCAGATATAAGGACGGAGGTCGGATATAAGGACGGAGGTCAGATGAGGTGTGAGATACATTTTGATGGTTATGTTGTGTGTAGGAACCGATGCGTAGAGAGAGGACGCGCAGATCTGAAAGTCTCCGAGCTGAGGAGAGTATCCGCGCCCCCCAGGACAGCAGTAAGTGTTCATCTTCTACACATTCTTTGGGGGGTGTTTGATCTGGTGCTCTGCAGAGGTCAGGTGAGGGTCATGAGGCCGGCAGCGTCCTCCTTATGAAGTGGCCCCTCAGACTCGTGTCCGTCATTTGGGGCCCCGGGGTGTTCGGTTTGTTTCTTTCCTGTGACATTTCCTGTTGGTGATCTACAGTGCAGATTTCTGATGAAGACTCGGACGCCATGGTGGACGATCCAAACGACGAGGACTTCGTTCCCAACCGCAGCGCTCCAAAGCGCCCGACGCGCATGTCTCTGCGCAACCAAGTGCCGCCGCGGCCTCCGAAGCCAACTCTCACCAAGATGTCTTGTGCCCAGTGCCGCACGCCTCTGCAGAAAGGACAGACCGCCTATCAGCGCAAGGGTCTGCCGCAGCTCTTCTGCTCCTCCACGTGTCTCACCACCTTCTCCAAGAAACCGCTTTGCAAGAAGATTTGTACTTTCTGTAAGAAGTAAGTGGCCGCGCATCGCACCTCGCCCTGTCCTTGCCGCCATTGCGGGTGGTAACCTCATCATATGATGCATGCTGGGGTTCTAGGGTTCCCAGGACCCCCTTCTCTCTCACCCTCTTGTCACCTCCTCCCATGTTCACCTCCAGGTCTTCTCCAGAGCCTTTCCAATCCTCTGGCACTCCCTTGTCACCTCCTCCCATGTTCTCCTCCATGTCTTCTCCAGAGCCCCTCCCATCCTCTATAACTCCCTTGTCACCTCCTCCCATTTTCTCCTCCAGGTCTTCTCCAGAGCCCCTCCCATCCTCTATAACTCCCTTGTCACCTCCTCCCATGTTCTCCTACAGGACTTCTCCAGAGCCTCTCCCATCCTCTGGAACTCCCTTGTCACCTCCTCCCATGTTCACCTCCAGCATTTCTCCAGAGCCTCTACAGCTCCCTAGTCGCCTCCTCCTATTTTCACCTCCAGGTCTTCTCCAGAGCCTCTCCCATGTTCACCTCCAGGTCTTCTCCAGAGCCTCTCCCATCCTCTGGAACTCCCTTGTCACCTCCTCCCATGTTCTCCTCCAGAACTTCGCCAGAGCCTCTCCATTCCTCTGGAACTCCCTTGTCACCTCCTCCCATGTTCTCCTCCAGGACTTCTCCAGAGCTCCTCCCATCCTCTAGAACTCCCTAGTCACCTTCTGTCCTCCAGGACTTCTCCAGAGCCTCTCCCATCCTCGAACTCCCTAGTCACCTCCTCCCATGTTCACCTCCAGGACTTCTCCAGAGCCCCTCCCGTCCTCTAGGACTCCCCAGTCACCTCATGTCCTCCAGAACTTCTCCAGAGCCCCTCCCATTCTCTAGAACTCCCTACCCCCAATCTGCCCAGATATCTCCAACTCTGTCCACCTGAACACTTATCTCTTCTGGGAAGCCAATCCCACCTGTGCCTAACAACTGGACTTCTACATCCTCCAAAAACTCCTCCCTCATAGTGATGACCTTTTATATCACTTGCCCCTCCCTATTAGATTGTAAGCTCTCTGGATCAGGGCCCCCCAACCCTCCTGTACTGTCTCCTTTTATATTGTAAAGCGCTTTGCAGACTGTTATAAATCCTGTATAATGGTATTTCAGGGACATCCGGACCTCCAAAGACTCGGTGGTTGCCCAGACTGGTCCTGCAGGGTCCTTCCAGGAGTTCTGCTCGAATGCGTGCCTTTCCCTCTTCGAGGCCCAACCCCGATCCAGTACCCAGAGCTCCACCGATGTTCCCGATATCATCAAATGTAGTATCTGCCACAAGAGCGGCGAGGTGAGAACCGTCTTCATGCATGAAGGTTTCTTCTGAGGGCCTCCGTGTTCACATCCTCCTTTGTATTGGCCACATGATGTGCGTCACATGTCCAACCCAGGACATTGCACTGAGATCAGGAGTGCCTAGGCACAGGAAGGTTAGGATTGGCATGCACCAATATCAGGAGTGCCCAAGTGCAGAAAGTGCACTGATAGGTGTGCCTGGACACAGGAAGTGCTCTGGTATCAGGAGTGCCTGGGCACAGGAAGTGCTCTGATATCAGGAGTGCCTGGGCACAGGAAGTGCTCTGATATCAGGAGTGCCTGGACACAGGAAGTGCTTTGATATCAGGAGTGCCTAGACACAGGAAATAGGTTGGACTTGATGGACTAATGTCTTTATTCAACCTCAAATACTATGTAACTATGTAACCATTATCAGGAGTGCCTGGACACAGAAAGTGCTCTGGTATCGGGAGTGTCTAGGCACAGGAAGTGCTCTGGTATCAGGAGTGTTGGACTTCGTTCCCAACCGCAGCGCTCCAAAGCGCCCGACGCGCATGTCTCTGCGCAACCAAGTGCCGCCGCGGCCTCCGAAGCCAACTCTCACCAAGATGTCTTGTGCCCAGTGCCGCACGCCTCTGCAGAAAGGACAGACCGCCTATCAGCGCAAGGGTCTGCCGCAGCTCTTCTGCTCCTCCACGTGTCTCACCACCTTCTCCAAGAAACCGCTTTGCAAGAAGATTTGTACTTTCTGTAAGAAGTAAGTGGCCGCGCATCGCACCTCGCCCTGTCCTTGCCGCCATTGCGGGTGGTAACCTCATCATATGATGCATGCTGGGGTTCTAGGGTTCCCAGGACCCCCTTCTCTCTCACCCTCTTGTCACCTCCTCCCATGTTCACCTCCAGGTCTTCTCCAGAGCCTTTCCAATCCTCTGGCACTCCCTTGTCACCTCCTCCCATGTTCTCCTCCATGTCTTCTCCAGAGCCCCTCCCATCCTCTATAACTCCCTTGTCACCTCCTCCCATTTTCTCCTCCAGGTCTTCTCCAGAGCCCCTCCCATCCTCTATAACTCCCTTGTCACCTCCTCCCATGTTCTCCTACAGGACTTCTCCAGAGCCTCTCCCATCCTCTGGAACTCCCTTGTCACCTCCTCCCATGTTCACCTCCAGCATTTCTCCAGAGCCTCTACAGCTCCCTAGTCGCCTCCTCCTATTTTCACCTCCAGGTCTTCTCCAGAGCCTCTCCCATGTTCACCTCCAGGTCTTCTCCAGAGCCTCTCCCATCCTCTGGAACTCCCTTGTCACCTCCTCCCATGTTCTCCTCCAGAACTTCGCCAGAGCCTCTCCATTCCTCTGGAACTCCCTTGTCACCTCCTCCCATGTTCTCCTCCAGGACTTCTCCAGAGCTCCTCCCATCCTCTAGAACTCCCTAGTCACCTTCTGTCCTCCAGGACTTCTCCAGAGCCTCTCCCATCCTCGAACTCCCTAGTCACCTCCTCCCATGTTCACCTCCAGGACTTCTCCAGAGCCCCTCCCGTCCTCTAGGACTCCCCAGTCACCTCATGTCCTCCAGAACTTCTCCAGAGCCCCTCCCATTCTCTAGAACTCCCTACCCCCAATCTGCCCAGATATCTCCAACTCTGTCCACCTGAACACTTATCTCTTCTGGGAAGCCAATCCCACCTGTGCCTAACAACTGGACTTCTACATCCTCCAAAAACTCCTCCCTCATAGTGATGACCTTTTATATCACTTGCCCCTCCCTATTAGATTGTAAGCTCTCTGGATCAGGGCCCCCCAACCCTCCTGTACTGTCTCCTTTTATATTGTAAAGCGCTTTGCAGACTGTTATAAATCCTGTATAATGGTATTTCAGGGACATCCGGACCTCCAAAGACTCGGTGGTTGCCCAGACTGGTCCTGCAGGGTCCTTCCAGGAGTTCTGCTCGAATGCGTGCCTTTCCCTCTTCGAGGCCCAACCCCGATCCAGTACCCAGAGCTCCACCGATGTTCCCGATATCATCAAATGTAGTATCTGCCACAAGAGCGGCGAGGTGAGAACCGTCTTCATGCATGAAGGTTTCTTCTGAGGGCCTCCGTGTTCACATCCTCCTTTGTATTGGCCACATGATGTGCGTCACATGTCCAACCCAGGACATTGCACTGAGATCAGGAGTGCCTAGGCACAGGAAGGTTAGGATTGGCATGCACCAATATCAGGAGTGCCCAAGTGCAGAAAGTGCACTGATAGGTGTGCCTGGACACAGGAAGTGCTCTGGTATCAGGAGTGCCTGGGCACAGGAAGTGCTCTGATATCAGGAGTGCCTGGGCACAGGAAGTGCTCTGATATCAGGAGTGCCTGGACACAGGAAGTGCTTTGATATCAGGAGTGCCTAGACACAGGAAATAGGTTGGACTTGATGGACTAATGTCTTTATTCAACCTCAAATACTATGTAACTATGTAACCATTATCAGGAGTGCCTGGACACAGAAAGTGCTCTGGTATCGGGAGTGTCTAGGCACAGGAAGTGCTCTGGTATCAGGAGTGCCTAGACACAGGAAGTGCTCTGGTATCAGGAGTGCCTGGACACAGGAAGTGCTCTGGTATCAGGAGTGCCTGGACACAGGAAGTGCTCTGGTATCAGGAGTGCCTAGACACAGAAAGTGCTCTGGTATCAGGAGTGCCTAGACACAGGAAGTGCTCTGATATCAGGAGTGCCTGGACACAGGAAGTGCTCTGGTATCAGGAAGTGCTCTGGTATCAGGAGTGCCTGGACACAGGAAGTGCTCTGATATCAGGAGTGCCTAGACACAGGAAGTGCTCTGATATCAGGGGTGCCTGGACACAGGAAGTGCACCGTTGTCAGGAGTGGAAGCCTTCCCTGTTTTTAGCTCAGATCCACGTTAAGTAGTACAATTGGTTCTTATTTTTGGGGCAGCGCTGTGTAGTTTTGTGTTCCGCCATTTTGTTTGATGTCATGTCGCTCCTCAGATTCAGCACGAGGTCAGCAATGGCAGCGTAGTCCACCGGCTGTGCAGCGACACTTGCTTCACTAAGTTCCGTGCCACCAAAGGCCTGAAAACCAACTGCTGTGACAACTGTGGCATCTACATCTACAACAAGGGCCTGCCGCTGGAGTACTTGTTCCACGAGGGCCAGCAGAAGCGCTTCTGTAATGCTGCGTGTCTCAACAACTACAAGAAGGTGAGTGAGCCTCCCGGTGCCGACACTCGTATATTCACATCGCTGAATCACACATTCACCCAGTGTGCACGCCTTTTTAGACCCCTAATATTTCCCCGAAGCCCCCCCAAGAGTTTAAAAAATAAATAAATAATGAAAATAAAAAATAAATAAAAAAAACGTTTTTTTTCCTGGCCTCAGGCGCAAAAGGAGCTGGCTACGGCTCTGCTCCCGTGGTGCTCGTGCGGCTGCCGGCTGAATGTGTCAGACGCTGCCGATGGAAAGGTGCGGGACACCCCATGTGCAACGTCGGCCACACGAGCACCACGGGAGGACAGGATGCCGGGACCTGGAATGTAAGCAGGCCGACTCCGTGCGTTCCGGTGCGGGAGGGGGTGTGGAACTGTATTGAAGTCAATTACATCACCCTCAGTGCGATCTCCCGCACTCGGAACGCAGGCACATTAGTGCTCGCAGCATTTTTGCGGCTCGCACTGGACTGGAACACAGGCACCAATGCAGGCGATCGCACTGTGGGCGAGGGGCCTGCCTGCGCAGCCCACGCCCCCTCCCGCCCCTGAATACAGGTGTTTTTTCGTTGGAAGATCTCAATGAGCTCGTCATTTGAAAAGTAGATCTCCAGA